CATAAAACAGTCCTGAGAGGCCTTTTGAAAGAACTGCCTTACTTTAATTACAAAGGAAACTTAGCGGAATTTCATGGTCGGTTATTGCTTAGGAGTAGGTTATTTTGAATTTGTCCCAATGCCTCTAGCTTTCGGAGGCGCTGGAATGTTTATTGATGAGACACTTCTTTACGTCACCGTAACGTAATGTAAACTAACCGTTAACGATCAATGTAGCTCAAAGTTGGATCAAACAATAGAATTAAAGTCAAAAAGACTACTACAAAGACCGATCAAACAACGTGAAAAAGGCTGAGGTATACAGTCATGTAATATTCATTATCCCGTGCGATGACGTATTAGGCATTATATAAACCTGAATAATGTATGAAGTTGTCAGTTCACAAAGAGTGTCCGTGAAAGTGATCAGCCCTCCCACCCTCCTTCTCTCGGACATAATTAGAACTCGGAGTCCTTTGTCGTGTTCCTCGACAGGGATCTCGATCCATACCTTAATGCTAATTAGTCAGAGAAAGGGATAATGAACTGTTTACTTGGAGGTGGGGGTAAGGCTTTCCACAAGTTGCTCAGCAACTTTTTGGCAACTTTTCGTATTTCAAGCAACGTTTTTCGTTTCGAGCAACTTTTTGCATTCTGAGCAATTTCTCTAGTTATCTTCTAATTCTGAGCCGATGTCGGAACAGCTTTTAGTCCTTAAATTACCCTTCCTTCCATATTTCACAGTGTTTCAGTAGACAATTTATGAATTTCCTGTAAGAAAAGGAGCCAAAGGCAGATCATGGACGCAAGATAAACGTAGCTGGGCTGCTCGGTCAGCGGTTTTAGAGAAAATTCAAAATGGTGGACGAAGATTCACACTCGAGTGATTTGAGTCGTCAGTTGAGTGTCTTGGGAGAAGAAGGTCATTCAACAATTTTAGCAACGCTGGTTACGCTGCAAAATTGCACAGAAATGCTTAGAAATCTTACGTTTGTTGTACAATTTCATATTTTAGCATCTCACCAAAAAAAGTTTTTGCTTTTTCGAGCAATTTTTGAGCAACTTTTGTTACAAAATGCAACTTTTGACTGTTTTTTGAGCAACTTTTTAGCAACTAGTGGCAAGCCCTAGGTGGTGGAACCTAGGTAGGTGTGCTAACCCGCTCAGGTGGGAGAACCCGCCTTTCCATATAATTTCTCATTTTGATTTGATCACGTTTACATGATAGGTGGGGTGACCCTCCAAGGTGGGTAGTCCGGTCTTCCAGACCGGGTAACCCTCTTAGCCGGGGTCACATTTTGCCATGTAAACTTTTCAAAGTTAATAAATTGGTAAGCAACAACGTCAGCGAAGATAGATCTTTCCAGCGATGTCACGTTTTGGATATTCTGAGTAATCCTAACAGAGTTACACTGACAAAAAAGGTAACATTTTGGGACAAAATCCACCGCCAATTTCGCTGTATACTTACTACTTTTTGAAAATTAAATTTGTCCCTTTCCTAAAAAGTTGGCCAGCCACAATTCCATGCAGAAGAAAGACGATAAAGTGGGTAACAAAACTGCTAATAAAGAAGAAAGGCAAAGGAAAAAAAGAGAGCGAGAGAGAAAGATCGAAAAAGATTTGACAAAAAATAATAATTGGCTTGTGCACATGCGTGAAAAACATAAAAGCTGCTTTAAAAATTATGTCTTACTAGTGGGAAAATATTTAATTTTTATTTTTATTATTATTTTTTTTTACACAAGCACTACTACATTGGTGCAAAACTCATTTTAGCCATTCTTATGCTAATTAGCCGAAAACCAGTCCAAAGAGGAGGAATTGGTGAAAAATGCGGGGTTTTTTTGCGCTACTCCGCACCGGCCATCGCAAAAGGGTTAGGCTCCCTAATGTTGGGAGTTGTTGTGTCAGTTTGCACGTAGCTTTTAGATGATGTTACACGGAACTATTCGCAACTACCATATTGTTGCGACATTGTTTCGAATGGTTGCAACATTGTTCCAACATTGCTACGCTGTGTTGCGCTAAAAATCGTCGTTGCGAATCGTCCGTGTAACATCACCTTTAAGCAACGACGACATCGGCGGCAACGAGAACGGCAGAAAAGCAATAGGTTTAAATTGACAGCACAACAACGTTGCACGTGCAGCAGGCTTTTTTGAAAATTTCTTTGCCATCACTGCAGAACTTCGACGTGAAACTTCCTAATGTCACCTTTTATGAAAGATGTGAAAACAAAACAACTATAATTTTCTTTTTCTTTGTGTGAAGTTAGATACAGTCCTCTAGAATTCAACTTCTTAAAAATCGCCAACATTTGACAAATTTTAATTTTTAATAATAGCAATGAAATTTGAAACAGCATGAATTCACTTTTTGGGTGACGTTTTCTCTGCCGTTGGCGTCCTCGTTACTTAAGCTCTCAACGAAAATTAAAGTAGCATCGTGAGGTTAGGTAACGGTTGTGATAACCCTGATGAAGATTGCTAAATGCAGCCGAAAATACCTTCATCGTTTTTGAGGGAGCTTTCCGCCCAGCTTTCTGTCATGGTCGGCACAGGCAGAGCGCAGGGACAGTCCGAAGAGTGGGTGGGTCGCCCAAGGCAACAACAACAACAAATCAGTACTAGCTTTATGTGCATGACTAGTATTGCAAAAGCTATTGATAAATGACTCTTGATTCGTTTCTTAATTCTTAACTGGATCTGACAATTTCTCTGTCTGATAACTTAAAATAAGATTTAAAAACAATAAATCCTTGCTCATTTCAACTGTTCATACAGAAGGAGTAAATTATTCCAGAGAGAAGTTTATCTCTCAATTCGAAGCATGATGAAAAAAAATAAATGAAATAATTGTATGTTTATAAAATAGTCATTTGAGTTCATTATAGGTGCGGTAATAAACTTTCTTCCGGAAACAGTCGTGGAGATGTATGCTAGTTTCTTTAGTAAAGAGCAAATCTCGTATAAAAGATAGCTCAATGTAGATAATCTAGCCAAAACGATTAATCCTCAATGGTTTTACAGCTGCAGACGGATTTTACTACCTTTTCATTACGGGTATATTGTCGTATCTTCCTGTCTCAATCAAAAGCTTATGGCTGCTTATTCTTAGTTTCACTAATGCTTTCCCAGAAGCGTTTCTTCTTGTGATATTTAGGAGCGCAGAGAGGGCATAATCCTTTTTGATTGTGTAATATTAAAAAGTTCAGCTTATGTGAGTGTTGAAGGCTTTGGCTCCAATAAGAGATTTCTCTTCAAGGCCGTGGGGCAAAAGCAGTGGGGTAGGGAGGGGAACTTTGACACACTATTTCATTGCCCGGTTTATGGTAATTGCGGAAGCCCTGATGACAAGCTGACTCGTCCCACTCGTCTCTCATTATTTCTATTTGGCGTGGAAGACTAGAACGGGCTCTTTAACGAAGGGGATGACTGGGGACGAGTCAGGATGACAAAGATGAGATCAGTGGGATGAGCTGAGAGCCACTAAGACTTTACGGTGGGGAGGGTGAATCCTTGGTACCAAAACCCTATTTAGCTGAGGGCCTTAAGAGAAGCCGTATTTACATAAATGCAGTGAAGCCATATTTACCTAAATTCAGTTTGGTAATGATTTGGACCATGCCCATATTTCAAGTTAGTGTTGTGTAAGATAGCTTGTCGAGGGATCCTAACCACTATCCCTTTTATGGGTAACAAGAGAGATAATGCCAAGAAAGACCATAATTGGTTTCGCTGGAGGCCTCCTTTGTGTGTTGTCACTGGTTACCATTTTTTGTGTTTACTCAGTCAATCTGCGTTTCAATCATGCGTTGAGAACTCCAATAAAAGTAGGGTGAGCAAAATGTTATTTCCATGATTATATTAAGCCCCCAGGGGTACTCCCTTATACAAGCCATATAGATATGTGTCCGACCCTAAGGGTATGGTTTTTGCCCCATTTTGGTCTGATAACGGGTATAGACTGGAATCAGGTATGGGAATGTATAAACGCATTTATTTGTCGTTTCAATTCCAAATGAATAAGAAAGAAAGAGTAATATGCGCATTTTAAAACGGATTTTAAGAAATCTTTCAATTTGTTGTTGTTCTAATCCAAATGATTACATAATTTGTGCCTATGTAAACATATATTTTACGTTTTGTCTGGCCATCAATTACAGAAATGGCTGCGAGCCTTTTATAAGAAAACCTCTGACCGCACTTGAACCTCCCCCAGGTCTGGAAACGGGTGTGGAAAATGACATTTTTTGGTCTGAAATGGGGTCAGGATTTGGGGAACCGGGCAGCATCACCGAGTATGCCTGCCCTTTTTGTTAATCTGAACAAAGTCCTTCAGTCCAGTGCCTCTAGGATGACCTGTGAAGGCTGTATTTGTACCGTAAATCCTCTATTAATTTCCTCCCTCTCAAATAGGCCCCCTCCGTCTAATAAGCCCCCTTTTTAGGGGAAGAAGGTTAATAAGCCCCCCCTCCTCTCTGTTAAGCCCCCCTCCCCTCCCCTATTTATTAATAACTGATAGATTGAATTAATCAACCACGACTGTAAAACTTCGTGTGACTGGTAGAGGATGGTTTATTTACCAACTGAGAGATCGGATTTGATTCTGATCCTCGGCTGCATGACCTAAAACTTCTTGTACCTGAGCTTTTCCACTTTGCATTCTAATTCTTTATGGAGAACTGATAATAAATTAAATAAACCCCCCCGTCTCTATTAAGCCCCCCCGCCTCAAATGGGCTTGAAATAAATAAGCCCCCCCCGTTGGCTCAATAGAAGATTTACGGTAAGCGTTTGCAGTGAATGATTTATACTTTAACCTCAGGCCCAGCTGATGCAGGGAACACAGTGGAACTATTCAAAACACTGAGTTCGTTCATAAGACCGTCTTTTTATCATAACTGCAATACTTCTGCCTAGGTGTAAGAAAAGTAACAAAGTCATTTTTTTTTTATCTGAAAAGATGATCTTGACTTTGTTCAATTATATCTGCAGGGAGCAAAATCCGAAGTCGGGATGTCTTCCATGTCATCACATTGTCATAAAACTGGTTCAAGCACTGTGACCAACATCCTCTTTCGCTATGGAGACAAGAGAATTCTTACATTTGTTCTTGGACATCACCATCTAGGCTGGCCATCAAGATTCCTCGCATCTCGCACTCTTTCTCTTTCCCGCCAGCCTAACATTTTATGCAGCCACACAAGATTTAAGAAAAAGCCTATGAACTGGCTTTTTCCTCCAGAATCTAGCAAGTACGTAACAATTCTTAGAAATCCGGTAGATCATTTTGAGTCTACCTTTAACTATTACCAACTGGGTCGAACGTTTGGTTTCGGAACTGACCCCGTCAATTCGCTGGAAAATTTTCTAGACAGACCGTTATCATTTTTCAACATATTCAACAATAGTTATGATAAGAACAGAATTAGCTTCATAAGGAATTTAATGACGTTTGATTTGGGTTTAAGCCACAGATATTTTCAAAATTATACAGCTGTTAAGAACTACATTAAATTCCTAAACAAAGAATTTGATTTGGTTATGATTATGGATTATTTTGACGAATCACTGGTGTTGTTGAAGAGGCTTTTGTGTTGGGAAATAGATGATATTTTGTACGTGAAGCTCAATGAAAGAAAAGACAACGAAAAGGCAACTCGTCTAAGTGGCAGCGTTCAGGACAACATAAGGCGATGGAATAAGGCAGATGTGCTGTTATTCAATTATTTCAATGCAACTTTTTGGAAAAAAGTAGAAAAGAAGGGTTCAGGGTTTTATGAAGACCTCTCCGCTTTCCGTGAAAGGAGATTGAAGATTCAGAAATTGTGTTTTGAGAGCAGAACTAAAATAGAGCTGATTTGGGGGAACAAATACAGTTGACTCCCGATAACTCGAACCCTCGCTAACTCGAACCTCGCGCTAACTCGAACCAAAATCGATTTCCCCTGGATTTCCGTCATACATTTACTGTAATTTTACCCTCGGTAACTCGAACCCTCGATAACTCGAAACTCCCGCTAACTCGAAGTATTTTTTGTTTCCCCTCAGATCATTTCTATATAATTTTATCCTCGATAACTCGAACCATGTTTTGAGCCCTTAAAAAGTCGGGAAAAAAGAGTGTACTGCCTCCGAAACATTGAATTTTGAATTTCCCTTTGACGTGTTGTAGGCATACAGTTTACTAGTGGATCGATAGTGGAGGCTGATGATGTTTGCCACAAATCTAACGTGAAATACCTTTACTTCTCAAAAAGTAAAATGCATGCTCTATTTAGGCAACGTTTTGTTACTTTACGTTCTGATTTATAATCTAACAGTATCTTTTAATTTTCACTCAACATATTTACTATTAAATGTGATTAGAATACTGACTGTGCAGTAAAAACTGTTTTTTTCCTTACTCCCGGCTATTTTGTTCGAGCTCCCGATAACTCGAACTCCCGATAACTCGAACCTTTTTCGATTTCCCTTGAAGGTTCGAGTTATCGGGAGTCGACTGTATGTGATTCCACTACGAATAATTTAAATTCAAGTGCTAAAATGTTGTGCAAAAACCTAATCAAATCCGAAGACAGTTACCTTGACGAGCTCCGTGAAAAGCATTTGGCAGAGTTAGCACCAGAGATCGCCGAACAGACCAGATTGATGACGAAACTAGTTGGGATGTCGCAAAAGATTTGGGGTACCGTATTTTCACAAAATAGCGCCCTCCCCTGAATAAGAGCCCTCCCAGTAGGCCATAATATCAAACAAGCCGAGCTCCCTCTCGAATACCGTAAATGATCGATTAAGCGTCGCGGCGCTCATTTCATTTTCCCTGTTAAAGGTGCGGCGCTTATTTCAACTACGGGTTAAAAAATGAGGGGAATATATAGAGACAGTTGGTCGTGGTCTTATTTCGCGAGCGAGATGGTTTTGATATCTCTTATATATCAAGCGTCGCAACTGAAAGGTGGGGCGTTTTTGTTTGTAAAAACCCAAATAAGCGCCGTGGCGTTTATTCGAGAGCGGCGCCTATTCGAGTAGCGGCGCTTAATCAGTCATTTACGGTAAGCGTCTCCCTCCAGCCTAGTACCTAGGCGTTCTCTCTTTTCCCGTTGTCCGCGGGCCGTAGGTCGAGGCTGATGACACTTACCGAGACCTTGATTATTTTACCTTGTTTTGACGAAAATAACGACAAACACGTCATCACAGGAACACGCTTTGATCTTTAGTTAGATATTGAATCATACAATGCCCGCGCAACCTACAGATTATTCAGTAATCTGCTAGCAGATAACTAATTAATTTGTAGGTTGCGCTAATTTCCAAAGTTAGCTGTAGGCTCTTAGCCAATGAGAAGACAGATACTTTCAACTTCAACTTCAAAATTCAACTTTAACAGATAATTTCAACTTTTCAACAGATAACGAGTACCATGTATCATAACAATGGTTAGGAGCAACATGCAGTTTTATTTCCTTGACATATTTTACACGCGAGACAAAACTAGAAAACTGCGGTATAAATAACATGAAAGGCTTTTCCAAGAAATAGGCCTTAAGCTGAATTCAGTTAAAATACAAAGGCCCGAATACGTTGCGTCACAAAAGCGACAAAAATAAGAACGCGGGGAATAGAAGTCAATTTCTAAAAAACTGCTACTGAAGCTACAAAGTTAATAAGTACACCTTCCGCATAGAAAAGAAGAGCAGAAGGACCGAGACAGCAGCGGAAATGGAACTTACACAGTAAACACGATTCTTGTATAACAGACAATTAAGAATCTAGAACTATTAAGTATGACGCTTATGAATAACTAAGCCCCAATCGTTCAACTCTTCTCTAGAATAAACGTTACGAAAGAACGTAGTAATTACTATCAAGAGAACGAAAGAAATGATAGCACAAACATCGAAAAACAATGGTTATGGCCAATTTTTAGCAAACATTATGTGAAGCCACCGTTTAAAAAATTCCTTTTTCTTTATACATTTAGTAAGAAAGTTTTTATCCGTTCTAAGTTAATGCTGCATAAAATCGTAATAAAAATAAGAACTAAATAAAAATATCAACATTCTTAAGACACCTGGCAATTATTCTTTTAAGAATAATTGTAAAAATTTCGACATATAAATATACAGTTGTATGCTATCTAACCGTAAGCATATTTACAAGGAAATTTCGCTACACCATTTTTGACATAAACGCATTCACGCTATTTCCATCATTATATTAGTACATATATCATAAACTTGATAAAAATAGAGCTGCGTTCCAAGGAATAAGAGGCTGAGCTTTTCAAAGCACACGAAAGTGAGATCAATATTTTTCCATATTATTTTTTGTGAATATAGGAGAATTTACTCCATGGAACTATTTTGTTTTACACCAAGACTGTCTGAGTTGCACAATCCTAAACTACTGGAGCTTCAAGGGTTAGAGGTGAAAAGTCAAATAATAGTGCTCAATGATTTGCAAATTGCCAAAATACTTCATAATATACATAAAAACTCAATTAATTCCCTTAGGGCCTTCACTCTTTTACGACCATTCTCGTCACCTGATTCTCCGCGATTCTTATAGCTGCACAAGTCGTGCGCAAAAGAGAAGAGAACAGAAGCCTTCACCGTTTTGAGCAACTCAAAACTTTGTATGAGGAAAAATATTGCCATAACTATCTTACCAAATTTAGGGTAAATAAATGAACTAAGCACGTGTTTATAACACAAAGCTCCTTTTAAAATCGAAAAAAAGAAACTCAACGAAGAAATTAAATTAAAAATGGTGTGTGGGTGTGGTGTGGGTGTGTGTTTTGGGGGGGGTGGTCATAATTTTAAAATCTTCCCACTTTTTCTTACACTTCTTGCAAACACCCTTCGAAGAATTTCTTGCAGAACGTTTTCGGGCTTATTTATACGGTAAAATTTGTAGTTTTTACCACGTCGAACTCGAGTGCAATAAAAATAAAAATAAAAATAAAAATAAAATAAAGTAATACGCTTCATTTAAAGTCCAGTATCATTTTTCCTTTGTATACAATACACGCAAGCCGTGGGTTCAAACACAAGAAAGGAATAACGCTGCGTGCTTGGTGCAAAATTTCTTGCGAAAGTTGTATTGAAAACAAAAAAGAACAACTCGTCTTTCATCAGCTAGTTTCTTAGCTCTCTTTCGCTGTTTTAAGGTTGCCATAACCAAATAACGGACAAGAGTTAAATTCAGCCATGAAAGTCACAAGGCAAAGTCAAACTTGGTCTCCATGGTGTGAGCTTGAGGGAGCTCGACATCACGTGACATTAGATGTCCAATAAGTAATCACCTCATTTCTTATTCTTCACGAGTGCATCCAGTGATGTAAGAAATCACCTGGTCTCCTACCGTAACCTTGCGTCCCATTTGAATGGATGCGGTGTGTGCGAGATAGTCTGCACAAATAGCACCCGCGAGGTTCCTCATGAAAGAGAAATTTTTCTGGCAATCTAAAGAACCGTCGATTTACTTGCTGGACTGATGGCTTGTGGGCTAGAATAGTAGTAAGGAGGAGGGTCTCCCTTCCTTGTCGGACCTGAAACCTAAAATTTAATGCAAAGGAAGTTTTACTTCCGTCCATTTATGGAAACCAATGCCAGTAGCTGTCATGCATAAGCCTTTCCTAGATATAGGATCCTAGTAAGCTGATAAAAGATCAAAGCATTTTCTCTTCGGTAATCCTCTTTTAGGTTACTCATAACCTTTGCTCTTGTATTTGTATTTGTATTTTATTTTTTACTCCATCCTATAATACATTAGCTGTACAATAATACAATAGTTGTACAATATTAATAATACACTAGTTGTACAATATCAATTGGTACAAAGTTGCTTAAACTACGTGTACATAATAATGATAATAAAAGAAGAAAATTAGAATGGAGAAGGGCACATTATAGTAAAACTAATCATGGCCCTTTAACAAGATTGACTTTATTCTTTTGTAGTTTTGTTATTCTTTAAAACACAAACACGCACGCACGCACACACACACGCACACAAGTCACCTTTGCTCTTAATCAGGTATTGGTATTGTTAGGAACGAAAAAACTGATGTTGCTCACTCTAAGAACTTAAAAAGAACTGCAAAGTAAGAAGTGTTTGGCTTTTAAAAACGACTCACCACTTCAATGTAATCTGTAGTCGTGTTTCTTCCTGGTGAATTATAATGTCGAGTTGTACCATTCAGCTCCAAGGCCGCTTGGTACATGACATGGCTGGAACAAAAGAACGTTTTGGTTTAACCAGAGCTTAACCCTTTTCCTCTTAAAGACAAAGTATTTCATTGGGGAGATATAACATAAAATAACGTAAACTATTAATTTAATCTCGCATTGCTGCCATAGGGCCTTTTTACTCACGTGGCCAGCATCTCTGCAAATGTTTTGGAACAAAAGAAAGCGTTTACATAAGAAATGAGTTCGACTCTCACAAGATTGGTTTGGAACACCAACATGGCCGCCGTTTCATTGTTTTGGAACACTAATACGGCCGTCGTGACTTGGACTGTTACAAGGAACAGGAAAACAAAATCGGCAAATAGCTGACCGGCGAGTACCCCGATCCCAGAAACAATTGTGTAGGACTTCTTCTGTGATCCAGTCCCATTCTCGTTTCTTAAGTGGCGAATCGGTATCAGCTCTGATTTGTTCATTTGAATCGGAGGCATTTGCCTCGACCGCAAGCTATTTCTACCTCACTACTGGTTCACTACAGCAGGAAGCGCCGAACTCGCCGACGCAGGCGAACTAGCCGTTTCGCTGGCCGCGAAAAAGGCAGCATCTTGGCTGTTACGAGTGCTTCGAGTGCTATGCATATCGTCCATCCAAAGCCAGAATCCGCAAAGATGGAGCTCAAAATGCCAGCATGAGATGCAACATAAGTCACAAGACAAGCAAAGGCCCCTACGGTCACCCCTCATTTCACGTACGCTTGAGGAGGAGACCATTGACCGCACTGGCTTGCAATTTTATTTTGCCTAAATTACATATAGCCTCATTTCACTACTGAGAATAGAAAATATGAGAGAAGTCTATGTCCTTATCCTTATAGCCTAGACTACGAGTAGTCCCCATTTTTCCTCACACGCGTGTCGCCTTTTCTCGCGTGGGATGATTTTCACGCGCGCTCGCGTTTCGCTCGCTCTATTATCCCTGAGGAAAAATGGGAGTACTCGTAGTCTACTTATAGCCTTACCTTGGAATGCGTCCTTGGTTTCTGGTGTCATGTATTATGACTCCATTGGGGTATTCCAGCTTAAGGTACTGTCCTGTTTTATCAGGACTCCCCTCTCTAGGTGAAGATCCCAGTCGGCTTGAAAACAAACCCTGCTGTTCATACCCCAGAGGGGGTCTTGTTGGTGAAGAGTGACTGTTGCTTGTATTCATAACATGTCCTGTTTGTTTGGAACCTAGAACAATTAAATAAATACACACTTCACTTTCACGGTACACTATAGAGACGAGTGTTTGAAATGCCTTTTTGGGGTATGGACGGATCGAGGACTTGCTCGAAACAAGTCAAACTGTAAACTCATCCCAAGGGCCAAGATAATGACTGAAGAAAATCACTATAGATAATAAATTAACAATGAAATCATATGTGGTATACACCCTTGCTAAGTGGGCGTTACGTTTTGTTCTGTCAAATTAACAGTTTATTGAATCATTTTCCATCTGTCCGTTAAGTGAAACTACACGTAACACTACCTGGTCCTTGTTTCGGTAGGGGCGCTGTCTCAGGGCCTAATTCCAACAGCACCTGGGAGCTCTTTGGAGCCGGAGCAGACATGGCTGAGTATCCTGATTCGCTAGATTGGTTGCTAAGGTAACTGTGACGGTGATGTCGGTGGTGGCGGTGTCTTCCCGCGCTTCCGTCTTTGACCCTGGCAACAGCCAACGCGCGAGTGAATCACATCCAGAGCTGGCACCATCTCCCTACAACAGACCAAACAACATAATGAACTGCACATCCTTGCTGCGTATAATTTTATGCATGTTAAGCGCGCACATTAAAAATGAAGACTTTTTCCTGAAAGCAGGAGTTCGTCATAGTGGTAAATAGTCATTTTTTTTGTACATAAGTACGGAAACCTATCATTTTTTCCCGTTTTTCCAGTTTTTTAATATATTTTTTTGCTGAGCAGTAATTTTCTTTCTGTTTAAAAAATATAATCGATTCCTAGGGTGGACAGAGAAACAAACAATACAACCATGTTCAAGCATGTAAATATAATGATATTGATATTTTAAGGAATTTGTGTGTATACACCTATTTCAATAAAGGTTGCTTCGGGATTTGGTCATCGAAACACACAATGGCTTTCAAAGACCAAAGCACAATTCCCAAAGCAACCTTTATTGAAATAGGAGTATGTATACAAGGTACTGCTGCTCCGAGCCGAATATTGCAACACCTCGTTCTTATTTCAAAATCCTAGTTCCTTTTAGAAAAACAATCAATTGCTCAAAACTCTTTCTGCTGGTTCAAAAAAATGGC